GGCAAACAACCTGCAGAAAGGAATCCATACGTTTCAATTCATTTTCGTGAATTTCGAGTGGAAGTGGTGTCTTAACATTTCCCGTTAAAATTTTGCGCGGAAACCCGGCGCACGGCTGGCCAAAACTATTTAATTTGCGCATGCCTCATGTTTGATCGCTGTGTTGGTTATTGGTTGTTGGCAACTTACCACATTTGGTGCTGTTAATCCGTATTGAGCCCACAGCACAGCAAGGCGGCGGTATATCCCCACAACAACATGATGTCTTGTTTGATATTGAGGATAAATTGTAGTTGGAGTAACTTATATTTCCTTGCTTTATTTTTGGAGTACTTGCGTCTAAAAATTGTTTGTAGGCAGGTAGAGTACTAATACAGACTGTAAGCCTCTTGGAAACTTCATAATCTGGCACACTTGTAGATGCTGTAAATATCAGTTGTATTCTGAAAAAAACACTTCTCACTCCTGGGAGAGAGTTAATTATATCTTTCCTGGTGACTGTGACATTACTGCACTCGGGGAGAGACGAGAGAATGCTGGACATTCTGCTTAAAAGATCAGAAAACGTCTTTCTGGTGTTATTTATGGTGCTACTTGTAAGACCTCCTTGGATTTGATAATAAAATGTGATTTCCACCTCGTAACATCTTTTCACATCGTAGTTAGCAATCAGTGAAGCATCTGAAATCACAGAAAAAAACGCAGAATTTGTTTAAAATGACCAACTAAAACATACAACAAAGACTCTTGTATAGATATATTTTCTTGTTTTTATCTTAGTTCTCAGGGACAAGAAATTATTCATCGCTGGTGGGGATGTATTTTTGGGTTTTATATTTGTGTATGTTCAGGGGGAACGGGAGGGGATCAGTTGTCGCCAGGTGAGTGTGATAACATTATCGCATCATTTACGATTTGCGCGCATCTGTAGTACATTGTGAGCCTTTGAAGAGAACATTAATGTTTGTGTTCTGGTGATTTGTAATTCACTTTGCATGGAAAGTTCTTGTATCTCACGCGAAATATTTAGAGCGTTAGGTACGAAGAGAACTTTGGCGTTAAAAAAACCCTTTTTTCAGAGATGTCAAGCAAATGGAAGGACCTGCAGGACGACACGTCTATCACTTACTAACAATCCTGTACACGTCTTGTGCCCAGGCCCAACCAGTTCCGCCCACACAACTGGTCGAAGCTCCGTACTTTTTGTACGTCTCCTGAGCCAGCGGTCCTGACCAGCATTCCCCTCCATCCTGCACTCCAAACACTAAGTACCCAGCCCTCTTTGCGGCCTGCGCGCATCTCTGAGTCGCATTGCTTTCAAGCCTCCAGACGCCAAGTACTTCTGGTATGGCACGGATGGGATAGTCTTTAAAACATCCCAGATGGAAAAAGTTGACTGCCAAAAATAAAGGCACAAAGTTTTTCATTCGCTTTAAAAGAGGGGAGCTTCTAGATTTATAGGACTGCAATGGGTAAAGTAATCGATTTGCCTTAACAGACAGACTGTGTTCTTTTATTTTTTTAAAATTCTGGATGGGTCAATTTTGTTTCAACCGTCTTTTTCTGTTTTAAAAGCGATGCGAAGTTGGTTTCGTTTTTTATATTTCGACGCAAAAAGAACTTGTTGAGGTAAAACTTAAATGAAGCAATACTCAGAAAGCAAGGTAGCGGGGAGTTCCTATTCTATGCTGCCATTAGTCACTCAACCAAATTTCCTTTACACAGATAGTATAATCCTTGCGGGCGATTGCGTTTATGTATCATTCTAATACAGATGTCCTTTCTATCAGGCAAACGGGAGACACCTGGTTGAAACTTAAGAGCTGCTTCGAAATCATACGATACAGCCATTTTCAGTAATTTTTCTCTTAAAACAGCCAATGGATTATGCGTCTCAATCTTAGTCAGCACTAAACGCTTTGAT